CCTGGAGGTCACTGTCCATCTGGAGGGGACTATTCACCTGGGGGTCACTGTCTATCTGGAGGAGACTGTCCACCCTGGAGGCCACTGTTCGCATTGGAGGAAACTACCTGGGTGTCACTGTCCACATAGAGGTCACTGTCCAGCTGGGCTGAGCTGGGGCCATGAATGAGCAGGGGGGCTGGGCAAGGAGCTGGAGGAGTGCACGGAGAAACTTGGGTTTGGGGCCTCCTCTCCTGGGCCTGGGCCACACTCGGTAAAACAGGGAACCAGGCTGACCACTGGGGGAAAGGCCTCTTCTGAGCTCTGTCAGAACCAACGGGTATTTCCCCCTTTTTAAAGAAAAGCCAGGTGAGGCCACAGGGAGGGAAGAAGACCCTTTGGTGACTTGTTCTCAATGCTGCGATGCTCTGCAGTCCCTCTTTTACCTGAGAGGGGAGCAGGACCTTCCAGACTGAGGTCGTGAGGTCTGCCGCGGTTCCACGTGGGGGCTGGGACTCTGTGGCCGGGACTCCCTGGCCACCTCCTAGTGCCAGAGCCTTGGCATCAGCAGCTGTGGATCCTTACCTGGCGGGGGTGGGGCAGCAGGTGGCCCCGTCTCCGTGCTCCTGCCCCACCAGTCTCTGTGGGAGGGCAGCCCCCACCCCTATTCCCGGGACCAGCACCGTTTGCCGGACAGCGAACGTCCAGTTAGCTGGTCAAGTGGAAAACAAATTCTCTGACAGGACCCAGTGCTGAGCGAAACAATGGGCCTCACGTCGGGGAGAGGCCGTGATACAGGCGCCCTGGACGTTGAATGGTTCCCTCAGGGAGATGCATCTGGACAAATACCCCGGTGTTATTTCATAAACAAGACAACGATCACAGATTTCCCCTTTGGAAGCAGGGCAGATAAACACTTCATCTTGGAACAAAACGAGGACATGGGCAGCACTCACCGCCTGGCACAGGATCGGGTACTTGGTGCGGTTGATGCCGCCGGCAAACACTGTGAAGGTCAGAGCTGCGTGGAAGCAGAAATTCAGGAGCGTGTGCCGGCCTTTCCGGCTGATCCGGATGGTGCTACGGGAAATGGAGATTTCCCATCAGGACCCGGCGTGCAGGTGAGCCCCCTTAGCCAAATCCATGCTCTGTCCACCCAGGGACTGAGCTGAAGACCACCAAGGTGTGACTGCGCGGGGTTTGGGGGAGCACACCCAAAGGACCAGGTGGAGGGACAGACATAGGGGCATGCTTAGTGTGCGTCTGTTGGATGCTTTTGTGTTCTATCAATCTGGAATGCTCTGACTGGAAGGGTTTTGGGAAATCTTGAACCTGGTCATTGGCCAGATGCTGACGTTGAAGCCCTGAGGCTCTGTGGCTTGTCTGGTCACAGAGACAGAGGGTGGGAGGGATGCCCTGGCCACACCTCCTGGTTCCCAGGACGGAGTTCTTCCCTCTCTGTGCAGATGTCTGGTACTTCGAGAAGAGGGCATGACTGTGGCTGACTGTGAGCAAGACCCTATAGCCTTGTCCCTGGACTAGGATGTTGTCTACGGCTATGACCATCTCCACTATCGCCATGGCAAGGATTGCTCAGCCCCTCCCCATGACCGTGGCCTTGGACGCGCCCAAACCCCCTCCCCATGACTGTAGTCTTGGACGCGCCCAAGCCTC